TCACCAATTTGGAGGTATCAGGCTTCACGCGTCAAACTAAAAATGACCACATCTGGCCCAAACCCGTGGTTCTGGGCCCCGAACCATGGGTTTGGGCCAGATGTGGTCACGTTTGGTGTAAACCCCCTCCCAGAAAAACCAAGAATGACCTCATCTGGCCCAAACCCACGTTCTGGGCCCGAGAACCTGGGCTTGGGCCAGATGCGGTCATTTTGGGTGTTTTGGGAGGGAACCCAAGCAAATAGGTTGAGTCCCGCTTCATGCTGCCTGCGTTGCCCGCCCTTGGACGCAGCCCCTTAAATAATCCTTGCAATGCCACAGCAATGTTTTGAACTAACTAAGATAGGGTTCAGGAATGTTCGGGATTTGCAATACCCAGAATAGGGCTTGAAATGCCCAGAACAAGGCTTGCAATACTCAAAATAGGGTTTGCAATTCCCAAAACAAGGCTTGCAACAACCAAACTAAGGCTTGCCAGGGCCAAATCAAGGTTTGCAACACCCAAAGCAAGGTTTTCGGGCTTGAAACACCAAAATGGTGTTTGAAGTGCCGAGAATACGTTTGGCAATACCCAAGACAGGGTCTGCAAGACCCCCAGAATAAAGTTTGAATTGCGCAACATCATTTCGGGTAGTTCAAACCCAGTTTTGTGAATTTCACACCCCGCTTCCAAAACTCCATTTTAGGCATTGCAAACCCCATTTGAGGTGTTGCAAACCCTATGCCCTATGCTGAGTATCTCAAACCCGAATTTAGGTAGAATTTTGGTATTAGGATTTTTGTCCAAACCGATATTGGTTATTTCAAGCCGTATTCGGGATGTTGCAGACCCTTTTTTCAGACACTGATCAAACCATTTTGAGTATTGCTTTCCCAGTTTGGGGTATTTCTTCCCCCGCTTTGGGTATTTCCAGCCCAAGTTTGGGCTCAAGTTCCAGTCTTTGGCCACTGGGCGTGCAGAAGAATGCCCAACTAGTCAAACCGGCTGCGCGAAACACACGAAACACAAGAACCACTTACGAAGAATCGAAAACGCAAGCAACGGACCGAAACGGAACTAAATTCAGGTTCCTTGCCTACGAACCGAGCCGAAGCTTGAACCGAACCTCCCGAAAACCACCGCTCAGGAACCGAAACGAGACACCCCTTCCTTGAACAAGCAAAATCTCAGCATTCGAATTGCAAATCCAGAGCGCTTGCGACGGTCGCGAGGAGCTTCGGAATCCTCTGGCGTGTCGCCAGTGTAGCCAGTCCTCCTGCAAAATTTTACGCTGTGCTTGCCGAAAGTCACCAGGCTTTTTGCAAAGTCCTCAGCTCTTCTCTGAAGCCTTTCGGAAAGACAAGTAGGAACGCATGACTGAAAGCTTTCTCTGAAGCTTGGGCGTCGCTGAATGTCCTCGCTTGAGATTTTCAAGACCTGGCAGAGCAGATTGCTGACTGTGCTTAATTCCTGGATTGATCTGGGCCTGCGCCAAAGACTTCAAGGCAGCAGCACCCTTTTGCTCCTGTCAGATGGCATGGGAAGACTGCTGTCAAACGAGTTGGACGAATGCGGGTTTTGAGAGCAGGCTCACAGCAGCTCCTTGGGAGACTTACGTGCACCAGCCTGACACGGACTTCAATTCAAGAATGCACCTTCCCACAAGCAGGACGGGCACACGGCCTCCTTCGGAGGTCGTTCTATGATTGGTGCAGAGCTTGCACGGAGCTGTCCCCTGACTTCAAGCAAGAGAAGCATGCTTCCAGCTTTGGAGAGATCTGTGGCCTCTGATTTCGTCGTGCTTTGGAGGCCTTCATTGCCATGGAATGTGGCCCATAGAACGTACGATTCCTGAGCTCCAAAACCCAACTCCCCCTGCTGACCAACGATCGACGACTCCATGCTGAAATGTTGTTGGTCAGGCGTTTGCCGCTTAGCTGCTCATACAGATGGTCATCGGGATCATTCCTTGGAAGGCCATGCTTGTTGGAAGACGGGAAAATTTTGCAAACTAGCATTTCTAGTGTTACAGCCAAGAACAAGGCAATATTCTCGTCAACAACCGGTCAATCTGTTCCATGGCTGAACTTCATCTCTACGTTACACGAGTGTCAATGCTGTATTTTTCAGGTCCAAATCAAGTTGAAGACGCTTGCCACAAAAGTTCAACTTCCATTAGAGGCCAGGAAATACCATAGAACATTGCACCGTCTTTGCCACATGCAAAAATGATATGCAGCCTCTTGGAGCTCGAAACTTGTATTTCAATGGCAGGGAGGTATGCTCTGGGTTTGAGGTTTCAGGCGGGCTTACAGTCCTCTCAGAAATATCACCCTGACTTCGAGCAACGCAGGGTCTGCTTGCTAAAGCCTTACATGCATTCAAGCAGGAGCAGGGGCGCAGGTACGACAAACGCAGGTTGCACTAAGAAGAAGGTTTGGAGCATATGGGTCGCGCCAGCTCGGCTTTCCCTTCGATCTAGAGTTTTGTTCGCAACCTCGCCAGTCAGGGGCGCATCTTGAACATTGGAGGTCCTAAAAATCCTGAAAACCCATGGTGGTGATCAGATGCCTCGAAAGGTGCCAACGGATCAACTAGCCTAGGCGCTGTGGGCGCCGGACTTGGGAAAACATGCAATGCCAAGGACTGCATGATTTGCGGTCTCAATAATTTTACAAGCCTTTACGTTGGCTTGTTGGTTTCAACAATCGTTGAAAACAGTTTGGGCAAGCGATTTTGGCTCCTGAGTATTCCAAAATGCACCTGCACAATTTCCCAATGTTCTGCTTCTATGCATCATTTTTTGGGGCTAGAATTGGACTAGATGGGAATAGGGACTTAAGATTTGGTGGTTTCAGCTCTCAGTGTACGATTTGTATGTCAGAGCATGGGTTGGCACAGGCCAGGCGGCTAGATTGATATGTGCCTGGAAGATACGTAGGTGGACGCATGAGTGCACACGACTTGATTTCAAATGCCCATCCTGGCCCGGAGAAAAGAATGGCCCCAGAGCATGTGGATCTCGCGCTTGGGTGCGACGAAAATGTTGACCAGATACACTAATGACTCCGCCCAATGCAGCAAGGCTTCTGAATGTTGAGTTGGTTCAAGAGGGCGCCAAATCGAAGCTCTTCTCGTCGCTGCTCAAGAAAACTCGAATCTTCCTGCAGCCATTTGCGCTCCTGGCGCGCAGCTCATTGGAAGCAGGTTCTGAATAGTCGGGCCATACTTGTCTGCCTTTTTTGTGTCGCTCAGGGCCTGGTTGAGCCTCTTCTCGCGAAAATCGTACTCGATGAACGGATTCTTGGCACGAGCACCCGCCTCACGTCCCAAGAATTCCAGTCTTTGAGACTTGACTGGTTGCGCAGCCCGCCTTCCTTGGACGAGGGGCGCTTCGCGGACGTCGCTCAACCCGCTCGAAGCTCCAAGATGCCGAATCCTCCCTGCAAGTCATGCATATCATTGCAAATCAGATGACGGTCTGAGCGAAAACCAGGCTTTGAGCTGAGGGAGGTGGCCTTACCGAGACCTCCCGTCGCAGCACTGGAGATGCAGATGCTACGGCAGACGAGGCCGGTGACAGCGGTGGCCTCAAATCCGACTAAATTTCTGGCATGTTGCAAGAGCAAGATGCTGCACCAGCCTCTCCGTCTCTCCATCTGGCGTCTGTGGAGGTACCAGTGCACTTTCATCCTGCGCCACTTCCACCAAGCTTGTCCGGCTTTAGGCGTGAAATTGAAAGGCTTTGGGCTTCAAGGGGTCTTAAACGCTGCAAGTCCTTCGGCATCTCCAGCGATACCATTCGTCCTGATGGATTCTTGGATCGGCCAGCCGTGCGTTGCCCAGGTAGCATTGCATAGGAAGGACGGTGTGGGCCACTTGCCCCAGAAGAATAGTTTTGGAGACCAAGTCTGGCAAGCGCAAACTTGATTCGGTGCACACACTTCCCCAACTTTGGATCAGTCTACTCCTCGTGCGGCGTAGATCATACGTGGTCATTCAGATGCATGGTGCTGGTCGGTCGCCGAATCAAAATCTTCTTCTTGAAAATGCAGCTGACATTTTCATGCGATCACTTAAATGTCAGCGCAGCAAAAGACCACACGATCGGACCAATGTCTGCGCAACAGACAGAAGCAGGAAGCTCTTTTTGGTCTCTTAGAGACTCGAAGCATGCGCTGACACATTGTCAGGCCCAGTGAATTCCTAGATTGTCACTATGAACATCTCAGCACGAGATAGGTGCAACTGTGCTGCATTGTGTCTAGATGACATATGAATGCTTGTCATGTCGTAAAAACGTGAAACCGCCCAATGCGCCTCAGGGGATGGAGTGGAGTGATCCAACGATGATGGGATGCATTTTGGGTGCCTGTCAGTTGGAGCTTGGCTGATAGGCCACGATAGGCTTTCCACGAAAGTATCAGCTCGAGACATCAGCCTGCCATGAGGCTTCAAAGTTTGGCGTCTGAGCTTCGAGGCGAAGCTTGCCCTGCTCAAGTGCCTCACAAAAGCAACAAAAGCAAAACAGCTTAGAAGCTGCATGACTACACGATCTACACGCCCTGGCAGCCTTCGAGATGTCACCGATCGAGTCAATGTCGAGATCCTGGCTTTTCCAACCCATGCTCTCGATCGAACTTTTCTCGCAAGACTTGCAAGACACCTGAAGGCTGCGACGCAGCTGGTTGAAAAGGAAAGGAAGGAATGTCAGGGCTGAACCTCTGTCCTGAGATTGGTGTAGCATGTAAATAGCAGCAGACATTCGATAGGCAAATCTTCTCGGGCGTACATGGGCATGTCATGCTGGACTCCAGCAATCTGCCAAGGGACCACCACCGTTGACGGCACACCGCTCGCAACTGGCCGATTTCCTGCGCTTGTCAACAATTCTGCCACTTTACTACGAGTACCTGTGATTTTGCCTGTCCTTCCTGGGGCTCAACTCTGATGCGCACACCTGCAGCTTCGGACAACATATCAGCTCACTTCAGTGTACCTGAAGTCCGCCTTCCCGCATGATGTGAAGACCGCAAGCCTCCTGACAAAATTCGGAACTCTTCTTTCAACTTCTTCCTCTTCTTCTTAGGGCTCTCGGGAAACAAAGTTCCACGGAGCCCGAAGGCATGACCCATTTCAGCAGCTGCATCTGTGTTTTGCTTGTCCCTCGTTCTCTCGGCTTCTCTTCTTCCTTGCAAACTGCACTATCCCTGGCCAAACCCAGTCAAGGACGCCAGCAGCGGATGGCTTGCTGTCAAATCCTTCCCCCCAAAGCTCTTGACAGAAGCTGTGAGCGTCTCTTGGGAAAGCAGGTAATCTATAGCTTGCCACCCATATCGGCAGCTTGAGTCTTCGTTTCACATGCTGATTTTGCCAGCATGTGGCGTTGTTCATCAGGGGCGAGCCTTGGGCACCCCCCACTGACAACATTTCATTCCGTTCACCTCACCGGCTCCCCACTCCCTTGCCCATGCGAGGGGATGGGCCAAGACTTGCCTCTCGGGCAGGGGTCAAATTCTGAGTCTGAGAGGTGGTAACTGCCCATCTTGGACATGCAACAGCTCTATGTCTCACAGACACGCCCGGGACGCTTGGATGTTCTACGATGTGAAAGTCCAAAGTCTACCTCTCGATGCCTCCCTATCCCTCTATGTTTTTCTTGGCTCGTCTCCCAGCCTCACATCGCCCAAGCATAGCGTCGAGACAGACAGCATTTGCACCAAGTAGCAATGCCTCTCAAGGTCTGCACACCAGCTGGTACAGCTCCTCAGTGGGGACTGCAACGGGCCTTTAGAATCTGCCCAGAATCACGTGCCTCACATATCTTCTGGCATTCTCACACAACTTGAAATGTGTCAGCGTAACTTGAGCTTGCTTGTACTTTTGAAGGCCCACCATGCCCCACCTGCACATCGGCAATGACAGGCACCCCAAAGGTTGTGCGAAGGGTCCTGGATCATAGCTCCACTTCTAAGGAAGCCGCTCCACCGCTTGGATTCGAGACGCGCCTTGAGAGTTCGTAGATTGTGGTGGCCTCTGCCCCAGCAGCATTTCCAACCTTCTCGCAATCGATGTCCCAATTGGAGGCAAATGCTCGTAAGAAAGCTGGTAAGAATGCTACTCGCACGGCATCTGCGCCATGTTCACAAAGCAGTGTCGCCTGCTCACTCAGAGAAAACTCGATTGTGACGTCTGGTTTCCGCAAGCTGTTGAAATGCACCACATGTGGCAGGTAGCGAAACTGATATTCCATCATGAAATCTAGAACACTTGCAAAATGATGTTAAGGACTTAGCAAGACTGATAGACAGAGATTTACTTTTGGCGTGAGCTGGTATGCTTGCATAATCCTTTGTTACCTCTCCCTGTTCCCATTGTTAATTTGCTGTGGGCTGGCCAATGCTTTTAATTTAACCAGGCTGGTATAAGCCCTTTCCAGAATGATGCCTGAAGGTCGCCAAAACAACACCGCGTAAGAGCTGCATCTGACGCATCCAGCAGTAAGCAAAGAGGCTTTTTTTTGTTTGCTTGTTTTTGTTTGTTCGGTCTTTTTAGTCTTTCGGGGCTGGGCCTGGCAGTGGGTCTCGGTGTCCTTTATCGAGCTCTTCCCCCTGCAATACGAACTCGTAAATATTGCCAAGCTGGGAAACTCCTTTGAAGGTCTTGCTACCTTCAAGACCTAGCTGTGAAGATACTGGCAAGCTTGACTCCCTGATGTGAGGAAAATAAGTGATGCTGTGAAGGGTGACTGAAAATCTTACAAAGCTCATGCTGTTGCTGATGGCTTCGCCTACTCAGTCTCTGCATACTCCATCTTTCTGCAAAACCCGCTTCCTCAACATCACTCCTAAGCAACGACACAAATCTAAAACATCCACCAAACCTGAACCGCACAACAGAGCGCCACGTCGCGGTGCCTTAGGCCTGACCAGAAACGATGCAAGTATTTGAGCTTGAGATCCTTCAGACCAAGCCCTCAAACGGAATCTTCAAGTGCTGCTGGCCAAACATTGTCAAGTTGGTCGCACACCATATGGCTTCAACAACATCACCGCTGGCACGCACATAAGATGACAGACAGCGAGCCAAGTGCGACTTGGTGGATGCCGCGCATAATCTGGGATCGATTCTTCCCAAACTGCTCCGAGATATACACGTTATTGGTGCACTACAATTTAGTTAATGTTTGTTGGGAGTCTTTTGAACAGGTTTAGCCGGTGTTGTTGTCGCTTTTGCTGGGCTTTGCCAGGTTATTGGGTGGTGCCTTTGGGTGGCACAGGAACAGGGTTTTGGCGAAGATTTGCATGCTTTGGGGCTGTTCCTGGATCAGTTGAGCGAAGCGTTTGCCGGGCTCGGTGCTTGAATGAACCCTTCCTCGTGCACAAGGTGCATTTCGAGGCCTGGCATGGGTGCACTGAAATTCTAGTGCTGGTTTGGGGGTTTTGCAGTTGTTTGGTGTGGGTATTTGCAGTCCTTTTGCAAGGTCTTACCAGGTTATTGGGCAGTGTTTTGGATGACGCAGGGACAGGGTTCTGGGAGTGATTTGCATGGTGCACCCTGGTTTGCAGCGGGCAGCAGGATGCAGCAGCAAAGTGTGCATCGTGCCTCAGGTACCCTGGACAGTTTTCGCAGCAAGCACGTCGGGCTCAGCATGTCTGGAAGAGTCACCCTGTACCTAACCCATTCAGCCTTAGATCATGCATGATTCAGCCTGCTGTTCTGCCACGGAAGCTGTGACCTGCCTGACTGAGGCAGTTGACTGGACCGACGATCACGTCGATTCCGGCAAACAGGTCCTGATGTGTGTGTTTGACTTTGTCGTGCCACCAAACCAGATCTCGAATCTGTGGCTTTCCAAGAATGTGTGGCCTTCATCTGCTTCAGAAACGCAACCTCATGCAGTGTTGCAAACAAGGAAGCAAACGCTTCGAACAGCAACTGTTGCAAGCCAGACTCGCAGCGCTCAGGCTGCAACAACATACTGATCGATGCCTTCGTCTACGTCAAGGCTCAAAATGTCGGCACCAGCCTCCACCATGGCCTTGGCTCTGTTTGGAGCAGCTCCAACTTGCTCGGGGCATACGCATCCCCAACGACCTTGACGCGTTCCCAACCATCTGGTTCATGCGCAGACACGGCAGCAGCAACCATGAGCTGCCTGCCGCAGGCGTCAATCACAAATTGATGGGCGAAGCCTTGCCAAGGACCTTGTCTGGCCTGTTAGCATCTCTTGATGCTGTCGGATGCTGCTGCGCAATCTTGATATCACCACGACCTCAAATTCCAGCACAAGCCTACCTCAAAGAGCCAAACAAGCGCCCCGAACTTCGGCCCAGCTGCAAAGCAAAGCTACCAGCTCCATGTCCTTGTTGAGCACGGGAAGCTTGGAAACCTAAGGCCAACAGAAAAGATCAAGTTGCCAAGCACGTCGGAGGGTCTGGCAGCCTTCGCTTGCTGCATGTGCATGCAGGCATCCTTCAGAGTGACGGGCTCTTGCGCGAAGACCTCAGGGGCTACATTTCAACATGCTGCATTAGTCACTCTCTCTCTGCCTCTCCCTCCCGCCCTTCTTCTTGCAACACGTACAATGGTTCCACAAAAACTTGAAACAGTCCTAAACATGTCGATGAGACTGCTGATGAGCCCACGGCCACGTCACGGTTCATGACTGAAGCCACCTGGAGGTTCCTGCAAGGTTGACGAGCTCGGATTCGCCAAATCCCTTGATCTGGATGTGTTCCCGCATGGCACAGAAAACATGTGTTGAATGTCTACCGTACGGTCCCCTGCTGCCCTTCAAGGTCTCTTTTGGTGACCAAGCCGACCAAGCGCCCACCCATCCTGCCTCAGAAACACAGGATCTATGAAGCTCTGAAACCAGTCAACTGCAGCGATGCAGCGAATGCCCACAAAGTTGCCGGCCGTTTTCCGTGACTGGGAGGCTGCTGCATCCCAGTTCAGCCTGGTGCAAGCCAACTTACGGATGTTCCCCAGCGCGTGCAAAACGTGGTGAACACTTCTTCTGTACCCACCACGTTCCAGACCGCAGATGCTCAAGCCAGTACTTCCAACCATGTTTCCGCAGCTGAGCAACTTGCTTCCAGGATGAACCCACTTCCAGCAGCAGTCCAACGAACAGTTTTTTTTTAGTTTTCCGTTTGGGAGGGCACGTCGACAGGGAGCGACAGGCTGATGCGTTCACTGCAGACACTTCTGCACTCTCGGCGGCTTTCCAGGTCACAGAAGTGTCACGGTGGCAACCTCATATGCTTTGCAGGTCCAGGCTTCAGTTTTTGGTGGATGCCATCGCTTGGCCTTCCACTCCCTCATTTCACTTCGAACTTTTATCGGATCAGGCCGTGCCTGAAAATGTACAAGAGCCAAACTACAAGAATTGCCGTTCAGTAAACAGCAACTGTTGCTGGCACGAGTGGCATTGGCTGACCTGGTTCTCCTTGCGCAACCTTCCCTCTGTCAGGCTGCTGTAAGAACAGCGGTTGCCCTAATTGTGGTGCCCTCGTTGCCCAGTACTCAATGAAAACTTGCGCTGCATGCGACAGCGTTGGATGACGTCTTCCTCGATTGCCTTGGCAACTTTGCACCTCCTTGTGAAGGCGAATTTTTGAACAGTCAGCCGAGGAAGTTTTTGTAGGGCTGGTGCAGCGTGGGAAAACTTGCCTCCGGCACTCGAACCTTCAGCAACCTGCTTACTCCAGCCGGCCTCCACACCTTATCTGAAATCCTCAGGGAAGCACTTCAACAAATGAACAAACTGTCTGCTTCTGGTATAGCAAGACTCCATGGGACTTCTTTCGGCGGGCATTGGGCAGAAGAATCCGTGCTTGCTTGGTGAGCAAAGTGGGCATTACTCAAAAGAGGCGTCTCATAGCACGGGTACTTACTTTCAGCCTAAGAGAGGTCTCCCCAAAACCTTTGATAGGGACTACGGCGGAACTCCCAAACGATCATTTGTTGTTTGATCCAGGCTGTGTGTGCACAGACCTGCAGGACCAGTGAGCAAAATTTTCTCGGTATAAAATGAGCAAACATGTCTTGCAAGCTTTTGACTTAGAAATCTTTTGCGGATTTCTCATTCCTTGCTGGTGCCGCGAAGAGAGAAGTCCAAATTCAAACGTCACCAGAACCGGGGTCTCAGCAAAACACGACCGCACTTTAGAACAATTATGTCAGGACAGACCGATTCTTTTTAAAGCTTGGTTCTACTTGCATAAGGCATGTATCTGAAGCAACAAGGGAACCCACAAGATCAGACTTGGCAAGTGAGCAAGGTTTATGTGCATATCCATCAGCCCATGGCGCCTGAATGCTCCTTGCCTTCTGCAGGGTCGTCTTCGGTGCCACGCAAGTCGGGTTCAAGATGAAACCCGAATGATATTGCTTCACCCTTAGTTCCATAAGCCGAGCTCACGCTGGCATCGCTGGCAGGCTGCAAGCTGACAGTTTGCATATGCAGGGCAACCCGCAAACTTGGATGGCGACCGTCGAACTTTGAGGGCTTGTGTAGCTATCGGCATGTGCCTGCATGCGCATACAATGCACACAACTGGTAAGTCACTGAAGCGGTAATTCTCAGCTCAAGAAAGGACAGCAAACAGGTGATGGCAAAAAACGCATCATCGTTAGAAAGCTGAAGAACTTTGCGAAGCTTTTGCAGCTTATGATGGGAAGCAATCCGCTGGATCCTCCAAGCTACCTTGACTCACGGATTCCAGCGTCACACACTGAAGCTTTCCTGAGAAAACTGTTATGCTAAAGGTCGCTTGATGGTAGCACCTGCTACTCTGATGGCCGCCAACATCCTCTAGATGCAGTGATTCCATGACATCACTGAACTAACTGCAATGGTTCGGCCGACTACGGACGGGACGGGCCCCACCTTTGCTGTCAGGCATTCGTCCATACTGTGGACGGAATTCATGAATCCATCGGTCTAGTGTGCATTGACAATGCATGTAAATCATTCTACGCGGTTTCAGACATTTTGGTACGGAGCCATCTTCATCCCTACACCCGAAATCCTACACGCTTCCTTGCCGCTTCTGGAGGTCTGTAAGAAAGTGAGAGGGCAAGGGCTCAGTCCCAGCCAAACAATAGCACCCTCCTCAAGTTGTGGTATGATTGTGGATGAAGAGACAGCAAGTGACGAGATCAGTTCTCCTCGCAAGCATCACGCTCCTGATTTTCGGATGTTCTGGGATGGTTGACACTCCCACAGTAACACCTTCTTGGTCGAATTTGGGTTCAAAGGCTTGGGTTGGTGTTGGTTTTGGGCTTGCTTCGGGTTTGGGGTTTGGGGTTGGCCGGGGAACATATTTCTGTTTAGGGTTTAGGGTTTGGTGTTGTTTTTTAAGGGTTTGGGGTTGTTTACTGTCTTGCATTGTTTCAGGTCCAGGGATGGGGGTTGTTGCTTGGGGTTGTTTGAAGTCTGAGGATTGTGTTTTGTCCGGTTTTACGTATCCAGGATCTCGTGACCAATGTTTGGGGGTGCTTCGGGTTTCGGATGTAAGGTCATTTAGGGTCTAGGGTGTGGGGTTGTTTAAGGTGTAGGATTTTAGGATCCATATGCTTAGGCTTCTCTGCGGCTTGGGGTTTGGGTTCATTTAGAGTTTGCAGTTGTTTAGGACTAGGGCTTGGGGTGTTTAGTCTTTTGGGCATAAGGTTTGAAGTTGCTTTGGGTTTGGGTTTGGGATTTGTCCGGGTTCAATGCTTTGAGGATGTTTCGGGTTCAGGGCTTGGGTTTCGGGTTAGTTTAAAGTTTGGGGTTTGCTTTTTAAGGTATACTGTTTGGGGTTGCTTAGTCTTTTGGGTTGTTTAAGAACTAATGCTTGCCGTTGTTTACAGTTTAAGTGTTTGGCCCCACCCCCAAACCTGCCTCAAAATGCACCGGAAAATGAGAGCTTGAATTCCAAGTCCACATCCTTAAGCAGTATGTAATAACGTCTGTCATTCAATACCCTCAGGTCTTCATTTTCCAAATCTAGGAATCAAAGTATCTCTCGAAGATATTGAAGGCTTGAAGATTGAAGATTGAAGATAGAAGATTCTTGGAAAAGCTGTCTTGAAATCCTCAACTTGTAGTATTTCAAGATACATGATATGACATACAGTTTAAGTACGTAGTAAATCTATAGATTGACGATTTGAAGAAAACTTATTTGATAGCATTCAATCTCCAATCTTCAATTTGGGGCATTTCAACAACTATCGAATACTATCTAAATACATAGTCTTGGAGATCGAAGATTTGAAGAGCATCTTTCTGAGAATCTTCAATCTTAATGGTGTAGTGTATTAAGATACATACGTTAAATGCCATTTGAATACTCTGAATTAGGAATTCGTTGGTCAGGAAATTTATGGGAGTCTCGAGTCTGCAATCTCACATATGGAGACTCAAGCTCGATTGAAATGAAAGCTGGCAAAAGAATTGTCACACTTCATTCTAGGATCGAGAGCTTCAAGGCGCATCGAAAACTGAACGGAACCATCAGGCTAATCACGCTGGTTCAAATAGGAGATTTAGGCCCCAATCTGCTGACGTAATCTTCCTTGAACCATGCATCCCAGAACGCTGCATCCAGTAGGCTGCATGAGTTCATTAGATCAAGAGATGAGCCCCAATCGACGTGGCCCAACCACGTGAACTACTTGCTTCATGGGTTGATTTGAGCAAACCTTTTTGTTTGCTGGTAACGGAGTGACATCGGCAGGCCCAGGGCCGTTTGTCTAATCAGCTGTTGTGCAGGGTCTAGGGCTTAGGGCTGTTCAGGATTCAGGGTTTGGGGCTCTTTAGGGTTTAGGGTTGCTTACGGTTTAGGGTTGTTTAGGGTTGTGGCTGTTAAAGCCAGCGCTTAGGACTGTTCAGGATTTAGGGTTGGGGCTGTGTGGGTTTGGGTTGCTTCGGGCTTAGGTTTGCTTAGGGCTTAGGGTTTGGGGTTGCGTAGCACTTTGCGGTATTCAGCTTTAGGATTGAGGCCGTTAAGGGGTTAGGGCTTAGGCTTAGAGCTGTTCAGGATTTGAAGGTTTGGGGTTGTTTAGGGTTTACGGTTGTTGGGTTGTTTGGGGTTTAGGATTGTTTGTGGTTGAGGGGTTATTTAAGCTTTCGGGTTGAGGGCTGTTAAGGGTCTAGGGCTTAGGGCTGTTACGGATTTGGGGTTGGGGTTGTGGTTTGGGATTGTTTACCTTTTCGGGTTGTTTAGGGTTTGGGGTTCTTTAGGGTTTAGGGTTTGTGTAGTGTTCTGGATTATTTAGCGTTAGAGCTTGAGGGGTTTCGGGCTTTTTAGGGTTGCTTGGGGTTTGGGGTTGTTTAGGGATTGGGGTTGTTAACGGTTTAGGGAATGTCTAGCACTTTGGATTGTTTAGCTTTAGGATTGAGGCTGTTCAGGGTTCGGTGCATGGGGCAGTTCAGGATCTAGGGTGTGGGGTGGTTCAGGGCTTAGGTTTGTTTAGGGCGTAGGGTTGCTTAGCGTTCAGGGTTGTTTAGGGTTCGGGGTTACGTGGTGGGTTTGGATTTGTTTTTGGGGGGTTTAGGGTGTAGGGGTTGTTCAGGCTTTTGCGTTGTTCAGGATTTAGGCCTTGGGGTTGTTCAGGAAGGGTTTAGGTTTGGGGTATGTGTAGTTTTGGGCCTTTTTAGGGTTGATTAGGATTTAGGACTGTTCATAGGGCTTGGAGTTGTTTGGTCTGCTTTTTGGTGTTGCTTGGGGCTTCAGATTGTCCAGAGTTGTTCAGGACTTTGGACCTGGAGCTGTTTGGAAGTTTAGGGTTTGGGGCTGTTTAGGATTTAGGTTTGCTTGGAGTTCATCTTGGTTTAGGTGTCTAGGACTGGGTCTAGGGTTGATAAGGGTTATGAATGCGACATGCATGATAAGAGGGCGTGACCTAAGACATGCGCAGAAGGTCGACAAGGTACACTCGACCCTGCGACCTGTAGCATGCTGGCACTTATCTTTCTGGAATCGAATGCAAGATCTGTGAACTTTTTGCCCAGGTGTGCTGCCGGCAATCTCTGAGATCTGTTTAAGATGACTTGTGCAGCGACTTGCACAGCGGGGCGGAATTTGCCGCACAACCTCGGTCTAAAATGCTGCATCACACCTGTGGAGTTGATCTCCGATCGGTGGGAATTCTCCCCAACAACGTGCCCGCTTGCTCACACAGCATACAGTATCAAGGCTCTGTGCTCTAGCATCGCTGGGAGCTGATATTCCCGGACTTTAGTATCCCTGGACACTGCTTTTGCTGGAACCCGTGGGATGTTGCAATCTCTGAAGGTTTTTGTTCTGCAGGATGTCTGGGCGCTGCTATCTCCCACCCTCAGCCTTGCACTCTTAACTCCCCGCGCGCCCTGCTGGCATTTTCTTTTACCTGCAGTCTGTGCCTCAGTACCTGGACGTGAGCAGTGTTCACGCAGCCCAAAGAAGTTTATCCAAAAAAACAGTCTTTGTAGAGGCGAGGTCCCGTTTTGGTGGCGCCATAAGTCACAGCGAAGCCAGTCATGGGGCTTGATCATACTACAGGAGACAAGGCTGCGAATGGCCGCACAAATACTTGCGAAACGCATGATGAGCCCTTGGGATCATGGTTGCCACATCGATAACGTCTGGCTTCAAATTGCCAGCATGCAAAGTTCTCTGTGTTTCTTCCAATGTTTTGAGAAGCTTGCGCAAATTCAGCCAATGTGATGGATTCTGCAGGGTTCTGCCTGTGGATGATTCCGAGGCCACCCTCAAGCGCCAAGCTCATGGCCATGCCTGAAGCCCAACAAACCGATTAGACACAAAGAACACACAACACGTGTTTTGAATTCCGAAGCTGGAGCCTTCCTCTGAAATCTGGCTCGGGCCGCTCATCACCGGCCTGCCCAGCTTCATGTTCCTGGACATGCAGAGTGTTTTGATGCAACACACAAACACAATCGCTTCAGATCCAGGCGCCCAGCTTTGTGATGCGGCACGACAGGTTAGGACTTTTTTCACTTCCAGAACCTTTTTACAATGCATACGTCATCCGGTTTGCTATGCATCGGTGGTCCGGGCCTGGAAGGAATACAATGTCGTCAAGGCTCCAAGCATGACTCCTTAGACTAGCAATTAAACCATTCGAGCATGGTTTCCAGTAGCATGAGCCCCTTCATGCGCTGAAGTAGGAAGATGGGTTGGAAGCTTTCACACGCCCCCATTCAGATGTCCTATCTTCCTGTGCACGCTCACCGGGTTTTCTCGGTTCCTTAGGCCGCAGGCTGAGAGGCAAAGGCGTCCATAGCGCTCCAGCCCTCCCCGTTCTCCGTCTCGGGGCGTTGCGTCCTTTTATCTCAAATGGTCGTTACACAGGGACACAGGGTAACCGAGGCGAGCGATTCAAGGGTTTGACTGGGCTAATGGCTTAAGCTGCACTATTCGTACATAGCATCTTCTAGTATCCTTGCCCCTTCGTTCAGCATGCTGAGGGCTCTGAACTGCCAAGCGGCATTTCCCTCAAAGAACATGCTGAGTTGAGTATGTGTAGCAGGCACATGCGCGTCCAGGCAGCTAAGTACCATGCGTGGCCGGAGCGGGATAGCCGCTGGTGATCGGCAACGGCGGCATGGCTTGCCAACAACTAATGTTGCAGTTGTCGTGTTGAACTTTTTGGCTCAATTCAATTGTTTGGCGCTGCTCAGTCTTTCACAGCAAAAGCTGCATGTCACCTGATGAGGCGCAAGCTGATCTCAGTCAGCTGCTGACAAAGCTGGAGAAGATTGCAGTCCGTGATTATGGTCTGCTGTCGCATCGCTTGCAATTGTGCTACAGAATGTCCTTTGTCGTGCGTCCGTCATTGCAACAATGCTCTCTCCCCTACTCGTGGCCGTTCACGAAGTCGTCCGGGTTTATGCTCGACAGGAAGCATCTTGGCCTCAAAGCCCTAAACATGAAATGACCGGCTACAACATCCTCTGACTTTCACAAGGACTTCACCCTGTTGCCTATGGTCAGCGCGAAGAACAAGAGCAATGCTACAGCTCCAGTGCTCCAAACTAGCTCCACAGCAGTCCGTTACTGGCATCTTTCAAAGGTGGTTTTACGGCCCTTTCCAAAAGTGAGTTTCCAATCCCACACTACCACAGACTGAAGGACCTGTGAACATGTTCGGCGTCCCGGCATATGCCACGCATGTTCTTAACAGCATGACAAAGACTGCTTCCATCTGTCTATGGCAGGTTCCTTTTGTTTGTTTGATGTACATGCCTGACATTTGAAGTGATGACGTACAAGGCCAACAAAAATGTAATATCCTTGGTTAGTGCTCATTGGAGGCTTATAGTTCAGGGGCGAGACACCAACATATGATGGCGGGGAGAAAAGGCAAACGGGAGGTGACCTGTCCTATGCACAATGAGTGCAAAATACCATGCATGTGTCCAATGTCCATCACACAGAACCAATCGTTGAATACAAAATCTAGAGCTGGCCATTGGGCATGCAGACCATGGTGTGTTACACGAGAAACTGTGTCAGGATGAGAACGTCGCAGGGTGAAAGAAGCCCAAGTTGCAATCTGCCAAAAGCAGACATGGTAATATGCACTGTGCCTCTGCGGCAGCTCATTAGAAAACGAATTCCAAAACTACCTCCTGACAGCTAAGGCTCGCTGCAATGAGAACTTTGCTGTCGTTCAAAGGCTTGAAAGCCCAGAGCTACTGATGACCCATGACAACACGAGTCATTCTTGGCCTCATGCACCAAACCAGCATGGACCGCAGCCCCAAAAGAAAATGCACCGACCTTTGCGGAATCATGATTGAATCGGGGCCGTACCGTGCATTCTCGTTTACTTTCAGCAGGAGAACCTCGACGTTGGGCGAGGACGGGATCTGGACGAGGACGAGTGGTGCGGGGCATTGAATGTGACAGCAGGTGGTGTCGCATCGGGACGGGTGGTGCGCAGTGATGCGTGATGGTGTGGGACGCTTGATGGGATGTGAGGAAGCGGGCCACAATGTCAATTGCAATGGCCGGTCGGTAAGAGTGGGCACCAAATGCGCACAAGTGCCATGTCTTCAAGACCCTGTAACCATAATTTCGGATTGTTGTTGCGCTCCTGGCTTGAAAGGGAATGGAACGGAAGACCGTCTGGTGTAGACCACAAGACGGTCTTGAAGGCAGCTTTCTCCTGTGGGCTAAACAGATCTGACATGCGAAGTTGGGCTTCCAAACATGGGACTTGCAAACCACTTTTGACTGCTCTCGCCCGGTGCGTCGAGGTAAGACCACAGATGGAACATGTACAACCCGAGCATGGTGTGAAACGGATGCCATCAATGCAAGACATGAAATTGACAAGCCCCTCACACCCAGCTACTCCTTCACCTGCAGATGTCGCATAGCCAGGTTGGATGTGAGGCGGCACACAGATTACAGCTTGCATGGTAGTCTGCCTGGCAGACGTTCTGCCATCCACACTCCACAGAACGGTTCTGGATGCGATCCTTCACAGTCAAGGTAATCCTAGGGCCGGCCATGCCGCCGGAGGAGATTAGCAGGGTGACGAGCTGTGGATAGTGGTCCCGCCTGACAATAGCCTGGGTCGCGGCTCCGCATACACAGAATCACACCCTTCTCGCTGTGCCTTGGCAGTTTGTCTTGAGCACGATGAAAAAATATCGATCAAAACAGATTTCGATAACCATCTACTGCTTGTGCTGACACTTGCCACTCGGGCGCCGGGTGCCTACGTTTTTGGTGAGGCTCTGGGAAGAGCAGTTTCACAATGCTTTGCAGCAATTGGTAACCGGGAATCTTACGGTGCGGATGCTTTTATCATAGCGCCACTGGTGCCATGCCAAGGCACTCAAATATTACTCAAGTCAACCCAAGTCACGTCACAGACTTCAAAAACATGTTGATCCCTCCTTTTCGGTCAGGGACACTTGGCCTTCGCTGTATTTGGTTTGCATATTACTGGGCCAGGTGGTGAGGGCATACAAGCAACCTTAAGAGCTTGCACAAATCGTTTGGGCGTTTGGGCGTTTGGATCCAGAATCTCAGGAACTATTACAGCAGGTGCACAAGATTGCTGCAATTTCCGGGTACTAAAAGGCGTGGGCCCCTCCATTTGCTCTCCAGCATCATCAATTAAGAGGACTAGATCGGGAACCTCAATTCAAGTCCAGACATGGGAAAAGATTCTATCTTTACCTGAGTTTCCCCACAAGACAATGACTATCGTCGCGATGACAGGAAAAATTGTTAAGCAACTTTACCCGAGTGTCAATATCTGACGGCTCATAGTATTGCCAGGGTGAAGGGGCAGGTTGATGTTTGCGCGTGCCTCTGCTTGCGTAGACCCTACACTCACCTGGAACATTGCCGGTGGCAAACTTATCACTTGGGCTACATAAACCCAATGACACACTGTACAATGGGGGCTTGTGTCAGCAGTTGAGGGATTCTGGGTTCCAGGGTTGTACAGGCTTAGGCTTGGTCCTCTGGAGTTTACGGATTTTAGAATTCATGGGCTGTTCAGAGGTTTCAGGTCGAATGTTCAGGGTTAAGGGGTGCCATGGTCTGCATTTAGGGCTTAGCTATGTCCTGAAGGTTTTCTGGTGGGCTTAAGGTTTATGGAGGATTAAGAAGTTTATAGCTTTACAGACCTGCGGGGGTGACAAAAGCACACCAAACAGGCGAGGCAGGCAGGGGCGGCACAGGCAAAACAGCAAGAGTGCATGAGAAGGTACACTGCGTGACGCATTTGTTCTGCCCGCGGGCATAGCGTGTGAAGTGCAGCATTGTTGGATGAGGTCACACCTATATTGGGACGGAACCCATAAGGATTCATGTGCGCCGGATCACGCGAGCCTTTCCTGAACCGAGCCGTTGAAACTGTCAATCCCATAACATGGTCTGGGTTAAATCTGGTCAGCCTCGTGTTATCTCTTCACAAGTCGTGCAGCTTTGTGCTACATAAGCACCTCTTGCGTGCAATCTCGTGCGATTTCGTGCAATCTTGCGCGTGCGAAATTTCAGACCGGATTAGTAAAACCGCATCTAATGCTTGAGATGGGGGTCAGAAATCTCTGTGCCTCCGAACATATGACCCTTTTCTTTAAGCTATGAAAAGCTTTCGTAACTTGAGTTCAGGAATTCTAGCATCTGGCACTCTATGGATTGAAAGATTCAGGGTGTAGAGGTTTCCGGCTTCAGGGATCTTGGCTGCCCCGGGGTTTAAGGTCTTCAGAGTTTGGAGATTGTTGCCGTTTGAAGGTCTTTGTGACTTTACGGGTTTGGGGTTTTGGGGTTTGGGAGGTTGCGGTTTTACGGGCTTGCGGGTTTAGTGGCGTCAGGGTTTTGGGGTTGACATGTTGTAGGGTTTTGGGGTGTTGGCTTTTCGGGCCTTTAGGGCTCTCGTGTTGTTCGAATGCTGCAGGAGTTTGGGGTGTTATGGTTGCAGGGGGGTTTATCGGCTTGCTTCATATTCAGGTTGAAAGTAGCAGGTCTATTCGCGTTCTGTTTTGGCATTTGTTCCTCTTTTTGATGCCTGACCTGCTCTCCGGTCCGCTCCCCTTCCCTCTCTGTTTTTCTGCTTGTCTTGGAGAGAGAATGCATGGGAGTGTCTCATGATCAAGGGACTTGTTGGTCTACTGGAGTGGGCTCAGCGCATGTCACTGAGCAGACCCGCATTGACAGTTGGGCGGCACTAAATGGCCAGCATCATATGTCTGCAGAAGGGATGTGAGCCTTGCGTCAAAACCCAGAATTGCCCAACTGCTCAAACAAATTGAGATACCTTCGGTTTCAAGGCTGTTGCCCTGCTGGATCCTGCTGGTGATTCCAACTAGCATTTAGAGGCCGATGTGACCTAGACGCGTAGTAATCAGAGCGGAGGATGAGGCTCAGATCCATCTGCAGCAGCAGTCTGCCTCGTTCGAGCCCGAGCATTTCGGAAGTGTCAAGAATGGTGCCAGATGCCCCACACCAGGCATTGCAAAATGCCATTCCGCTGAGGCATCCTGCCCAGTTTCGAAAAGTACTCAGATGAACTGAATGCAAGTCACGGATTGGAGCCGTGCATGAGCGGCAGGCAGTTTCTGGACCCTGAAACATAAAAAGCAAGGCCACCATGCACAGAGCGAAAAGAAGCTTTTGACAGTCGACTCACGCAAACTTCGGCTCAAAGGCGCGAGAGCTTGGACTGTCTGTCCAAAGACCGAGATTTCGTTTGTAAGCAAACGCTCACTATTGCAGCTCCTATTCATCTTTGCGTTGAAAAAAAGCTGCCAACTTAGCTGATCTATGAATATCCCGAACAATGACTCATAGTCGAACTTCCAGCGCTAAAAGTAAAACGTCACTTGAACCGTTGATCTTCTTGTCTTTTGACTGCTTCGACCAAGGCACGGTATGCGAGCTGTGACCGGCAGCGTTGTAGTCTGCAAAGCCAAACAGGTCACGTATCAAAGGCTTTGTACTACAGCGGCCTGCGTTTCCGTGGTGCTGGTCGTGGTGCTAGTTGTTGTAGGCGGCTCTTCGGCTGGGCAGCATTGCGGGCATGGAAACTTGTGACAATCAATGCTCAGAAAAATGGTAATGCCGCCTCACAGTGGTGCAATTCTAGCTGGCCCTGGGTGGCGCACGAAGTGGCGGATCTGCTTTCAGTCTAAGATCTTCAGGGATTGGAATGCCTTTCCACATGCATCACAGGTCTAGCCAACGACCATGTACGTCACGTTATCATAATAGCGGCATCTGCATGAGCACAGGTCGTTACAGCTTACAGAACAACAGCTGCCTTCCTTCCATAAAGTTGTGAAGCCCACTGCAGACTCAATGATGTTTGCTTCCGCTTGAAACTGGAAGAACCTTGCTGCCCATCAAAGCACCGTCCCCAAACCAGGTAACATGCAGTGTGAAAGCTCTCAGCAGCACACGAGATTTCCCAATGAAGCTTGTCCACGTCTGGGCCAGTCATGGGTCAGGCACGGTGCATCACTGGTCACTGGGAGGGTTGAGCCACCAAGCCCTGGGCTCTCGTTGCAGAGGATAACGCCTCTGATGGGGTCAGCGGCCTGGCACAGCTCGTGTAATGCCCATTTGTTCTTGCTCCAGCGATGTAGCCATAGCTTTGCTATACGCGGTGGTTACGGCGCCGACTCCATTTCTGCAAGGGGCCTTCCCGGACCCCACCCCGAAAGCAGCCTGTAATCAACCTGGGTTCCGGTGGCTTCCGCCTCTCCAGCTCCTCCACAGAAAGATTTTTCAAGGATTCTTGCGAGTTTTGAGGACCACCCAAAAAACATCGTTGGCGCGGACCGTTTTCAAAACTGAGCCCGATGATGCCCCAAGGCACGTCTGGGGCCGAAGCTGAGAAAAGCGTAGATTTCGATGGGTATCGGGGCACCCCAAAATCGAGAAATAGACCCAAATGATGCCGACTAGGGGCCGGCGTCATCAGCATCATTGACTTGCAATGCAAAACCGAAGCGCCTTCCCCATCCTGAAAACTACGTACATTACAGCCATGCTAGAGGGCAAACATGCGACCCACACTAAATGAAGCAAGTGCTGGGGCATCTGCCCACTTCTTGACATCGCAAGCAGCCGTCACCACATCCATTGCAAGTTCATACCTCCAGAACAGGTCTCTGTACTCATCCTCCATTGCTTCTGCATGGAAGTGCTTTGCCAGAAGAGTCAGGCCAATACGCAGACAGTCGAACAAGCAGTGGAACGGGACTACAGAAAAAAAATAGAATCCAGCAAGAAATGAATTTTGCAAGCACGATCCCTATTGCTCGCCTGCCCTTTGAAGCGCCGGACTGAGCACCACCAACATTTGCCGGTGGAAGCGGTGTCTGAAAAGTGATGTCAGCTTCGTTTTGCTGAGTCGAAACCTCACAGACGCATCGGAAAGCCCAAATCCGAGAAACTTCGCCAATCCGCAAAAACAGGCAATGCCTTGCAGCTCAGGAAGTGCGGCTGCAGACTGTGGAACTCGACCTTGCAGTCTCCGTCCTTCTCGCCGAACTTAGCCGCTCACCAAGGAAAGTAACTGCCGGTCACATCTGGTTCAATGGGATTGCCGGAAGCCGCGGACTGGGTGACGGGCTTGGTATCCCAACGGCGCCCGGATATTAATTTTTCGCGTCTCCACTGATTGGTTCCAGCTGAGGAGGACTTTAAACCTCAAACGTTGCAAGTGGTGCCCTCATAGAGTATGTAACCTCCTGCCTCTCTTGTGGGTGGGGCAGCAGGTTGGCCACCATGCGGGACACGGTAAACCTCACCACACAGCACTTTGCTTTTTGATCGCCATGCTGCTAACTGCTCAGTTTGCACAATTCTTAGCAATCCAGACATTGTCACAGACAGCCAGTCTCTGAGGTGGGCACTTGGTACAATGCTGTCGGACACAAGGTAGCCACTTGAATTCAGGAATGCAGGACTGGCAGTCAAGGCAACACGAGTGCTACTTACGATGCACCAGTCACGATCTTTGCCGATGCCTGGTCATCAATTTCTTTCTGCAAGACCTGGTGGGCAAGTCAAAACCGACCACCCCACAGAAGATTTAACAGGCCTGCTTCATGACTTTGAAATGGCCCTTGCCGCACGCCGCATCACATGGCGTCACAACTTCCCACTTCTTGGAGAGTTCACACCTTTCAAGGAGTTGCCAACGCACTTCGTCAAGCTGAATGATTGTCATCAGGCTGGCCTAGCACGGCAAGGCCTCAAGAGCATACTCTGAAACTCTGAAATGCAACAGCTTTCAGCGAATCGAAATAAGGCAATGACTGTGTGTTGCATGGCTCAAGCTGCTCCGAATAACGCTCCTCCAAGCTCACAATGCCTACTGAAAGCGCTCGCAACACAAAAAGTACATTAGCAGAGCGGCCCCCATCTGTGGGCACAGGTGGAAATTGTCACCGTCAACATAGAACCTGCCAGAACGCGAGCTGGCTCTCAGTGCTGATTGGACTGGACAGTGCAGCTTCAACAACACGTGCATTGTCAACCGAAGCGTGTGCCTGGGGTTACGCACACAAATTGAATGGAGCCACATTTCAGCATAGCGCATGTCGCCCCTACACCATGCACAGCCTACTCATACCTCACCCCAACACTCCTCCATCCTTGAAAACTTGAACCCGTAGAGCCCTCGACTCCACACCCTGCACCCTCACCCTCTGCCGCAAACAAATCGCGGTCCTGCAACATCTGCCGTACGATACCGCTGTAAATAAAGCGTTGGCATCGGCCGCACCACCAGATGACAACCCCAAGGAAGAAACAAGAAAACAATCACTAGAAACCTACTGGAGCCCAGCAGACAGTCAGCAGACCGACTGACTGCACGCCTCTTCCTTGTGAATTTGACACCTCCTCCACAGGATGCCGAACATTCGCCCTCAATGACCTCTTCCTGTCCAACACCATACTCTCTGCAATTGCAATCGCTGAGATTGAGATAGCCGCCTTGTACCCACAGGAATACAAGCAAGGATGCTCATTGCACGTCCTGAAACACAACGATTGGAGTCCATACTGGACCTCTTAAGGCGAAGCAAGAGGTGATTTTGAGGAGGGCTCAATTCATCTGATCCAAGGGCCGGGCCCTGGAGTGGGATGGAATATTTCATTGCCTTACAAACTGGGTGCTGTTTGTCAAGCGTGCGTGAAACAGCTCTGCTAACAACAGCCATCTTGGAAGATAAGCCTGTTGCTTGTGCAAACACCTCTTCGCACTGAAGCTTAGACAGACAAAGCTGGATACAAAATGACACCGAGTCGCACTCTTGCCCTGCAGGAGGTTGCTGCAGTGGCCTTCTGACTAACCTTCAGACGGCATTCAGCTTACTCTCAAGCTGTCAACTCACATTTCTTTGCGCTTGTGCGGGAAGCTCATTGCAAGGAGTGGACTTCATGATGAACCCCATCTGCAGTGACTAAATGTGTGGCCCAGGCATACGCTTCCCGCCACCGCATCGAGCAGAGCAGGAACCCCACCCTGAGCTGCAGATGGCGCAGAGATGCAAGACAGCGTTCTAAGGGTGGTCTGCAGTCCGCATGCTAAGCACTATAGCTAGATTGTAATCACTCAGATAGCTGTTTTGGAAAATCAGCAAAAGCTAAAAAAAACTACCGAACCTTGCATGTCGGCTTTTCCTTGAACTTAGCAACAGCCAGAGTTTGGGCACTGCGTCCTCAAAGCCCATGAACATCTATGACTAGACTCTGCAGAAGAGTTGAGCAGGCCCAAGCACTGAATGTATCAGAAGGTTCTCCTTCAGCCGGCCTTCCCAGTCTGAGTAGACGCAGTTCCAGTCGCCCAGGATCTGAGTGGTTTGCACTGCGAGTCTGGACTTGCTCTACCAAGGCTGGGATCTCCACTGGCCAAGCTTGGAAAGATGTCTCACCTCCAGCACATCACTTAGAAATTAGCATTCACAGCCATTCACAGCAACTGGAAGTGCCTTCCCAATCTTGCTGCGAAATGGATGCCCAATGCAACAAGAAGTGATTGTCCTGTGCCAAGCTCCCCTGTAGAGATGCTTGCGACATGTGACCTTCATATCTTTTGCTCTTTCTCCTGTGGTTCAGGAGATCGATCTGGATAGCGTACACCTTTTGCGCTGTGCAGATCTGGGATCTGCGCACATCAAACTTACAGAGTCTCGCAAGTGGTGGAGGATGACACTGACCGAGAGCCTTGCGGATGTGGAAAAACCACCTGAAGCAAAGTGTGAAAATTGTGTGTAGTTCAGAAGCCATGCCTAACAAACATGAAAATGCATGAATCCAGTTGTTCATTGGCTGGCTGGTCGCCGAGTCCGCGACCAAGACATGGGCACAATGCTGGAATCATTCACAGGAGAACCCCTTTGCAGGGATATTGATTTATGACAACATGCTCCAACATGCCGGCTGACATGTACCAAAAAGCATGCTCAGCGTTCGGCAACTTCTTGGACAATCCAGGCAAGTCTGGCTCCAGCTTCAATGTGAGAGCCACCACAGCATCTTGCGAGCCAGGCAATCAAAGCGCAATGAAAACGCATCTCCCTTTCCCTTGAATCCCTTCCGTCCCTTCTGCCTCTCTGCTGGGCCTCGCTTTCGTTTCCTCAGTAAGATCTAGCTGAAGCTTTGCAAGAAGCTGAAAGTCGCAGTCCTTCGCTTAGACGATCATCCAGCTTGTTATCGACCTCATCGAAGCCCCACAGCAGAAATCTGTCCAGACTGTGCTGCATAGCGCCTCACAGCTGATGATGTGCGATGTCAGGGATCTTGCCTCGATGCTGTGCCCTCAAAACAGAGCAAAGCATACATTGAAGAGCAAGCTTTGCCTGGGTCTCGTTTTCATATGCAGACTTCCTCCGCAACAGCGTGGCCAAATGAAAGTGTGGTTGAACACGGGCTCGCAAACAAATCTTTGCGCAGGGCTGATCCAAACTCTGCGGTGCGAAGACCTGCAAGGTGGCTCGTGCTGCTGCAATGATCACCTTGAGAGAGGCATGAAGCGTAAGAAGCGTAGGAAGCGTGACCTGTGGGCATCCAGGCTGGAAGTTTGCTGGAGCATCCTGCAGAGCCAGGGAGCCAAAGCGGCAAACTGAAGAGCCGCACTCTGCCACACTTCTTGCTGGTCGGTCCAGAAGCAGGTACCCAGGCGGCAACGTCAAGCCGATTACCTGGCTTTTGCTGGACAAAGTTAGCAACCCAACAGCCCTAGAATGGAAGCCGAACGTTTTCATGCTCCCCCCCCAGGTGGTTTCACTGATCACTGATGCTGTTGTTTGTACACACCCCGTAAGATAGCCGTGCTCAGGTGCTGACGCTGGCTGCTGGATGAAGGGCAAAAACGACTGCCAAGGTGACAGCCTTTTGCACAGAAATTCCGGGTGACATGCAAGCGACTGCAACATCGACAATCAGCCATGCACTTTCTGTGACACCTTGGCAAAGCCAGCTGGCTAGCATGCTTTCGAAGATGTTTGACGACATATGAAAAATAATCTCCTGTAGGATCTCGGCGAAGGTCCGCAGAGCAAACTTCCAATCTATCTAATGTGGAGAGGCCTTACAGTCACTCGAGCCTTCTCCTCTGCAACATACAACTCAAGCTTATTCAAGAACGGGAAATGAGAGTCTGGACTTCGGCTTTGATCTTGTTTCGTAATCCCACGGCTGAGAGCCCTGTTTGATGTGCACACAAGATACAGAGTACTGGAAACGCACAAGTGAATCACCGGACGCAATCCAAAAAACATACACGGTGTTGAAACTTCCCTGAGGATGCCAGGAACAAGAAAGCTTATGAAAGCTACCTGTCTGTCGAGACCTCAGGTGCACAATTGTTCGGAAGCAAAAAGTCTCCCCTCTCTGCATAGATTCGCACTCATTCCGTAGTCTGCCAGAACGTAGATATGGTGTTTGGTGTTTCAGGTTTTGAGGGGAGCCCAATCTCAAAGACGATCTAAATAAAGGATATTCTAGAAATCCTATCATTTGTGATGGCCGTTTCTGTGAACATGCTTGCATTCAGATGGAGCTTTCTGTTAATCCTATCATTTTAGTGGAGGTTCGAATTCCGCTTTACACAGGGGTTCTCCTGGGCATCCTTCCATTTTAGCTGAAGGTGCCCTCAGAAATCCTGTCGCTGTTCCTTTACACCTCCCATCACTTTTGATGCAAGTTCGCCCAGAAAACTTCTCATTTTGCAGCTCTACCATAAACCCAGTGGGGCGTGCCACGCCACATTCAGAGCGTAACCTGTTCATGCTGTTCCGAACTTGGGTCTCATCCTAAAATACTGAAGTGCTGAAACTGCTAGGCTATGCAAAAAAAGACAAGACATCGCGTTGGAAACTAAAGATGACATCTCTGCATCTGCAATTTGTCTCCCAAGCACTTAATCCTCTAAATCACCAGAACTCACATATACCTAGAGTATACTTACAGGTATCAGTAATGAAAACGGACGATTATATACCTCATCCGTTTTTTTGCCCATCCTGCCCCTGCAAACGCATATCAGGAAAGCGCTGTATTCATGAAGAGGGACGTGCTGGTGTTGGGTGTAGGTTGTAACAGGAACCGCCCCGGGGCGTAACGGGAACCGTGAAGCGGAAACCCGGCCACGGGAAACCAGAACCGGGGTCGGGTGAAACGGGAACCGCTGCCGCAGGTAACGGGAACCGCCGGGCGTGCAACCGGAACCGGCCGGGATGTAACAGGAACCGACGAGTACGGGCGTCCGAGCAACACGACGGAACATGAGCTGACCGACGCGTGAGCTTCCTGCGTGCTGGCGCAGTAGGGACGACCGGTTGGCCGGCACTTAATTTCCAGCGCTTTTCCGGACGCGACACCTTAGGTTTCCCGGCCTCTCAAATAAGGTGACCGGCCGGCGGTCACCTTATTTAAGAGGTCGCCAGCTAGACCTCCAATACACCCCATTATACCTTTAATCTTTAATATATCCCATTATACCTTACCCCCATAATTTCCCTAAGATAGAGTCTGGGGTTTAGTTTCAGGTTTGGGGTTTCGGGTTTAGGGTTTCAGGCTTCGCGTTTAGAATTCATCTGATGATTTCCAGCAAACAGTTCATAAAAAGCATGCAAAGCAAAGAACTGCACAGGAAAGTTCACGGGGGGGGAAGGGGGGTTCTTGGACCAAGGATTAAGTTTCTAAGTAGAGGCCCGCCTGACTGGACGGAGGGTGCCCGGAAGCCTTTGCGAACCTTAAGCAAGACCAGGGAATCTTGGGGAATAATGGCGATTTCTAGATTACCTTCCCCTCGTAAGCCCCGCTCCCTCAAGGGATCCAGAACTGAAATTGAATAATTATTTGGGAACTTCTCAAACTCGTCGGCCCCTTTAGGGGATGCTTATAACATCTCTCAAGATAAGTTCCTTTTTAAGCTCAACAGGGACCACCCGAAAAGTTTCAGTATCCAGGAAAAGTTTCTGTTACGAAGCGGCCCTGGTTCCTGCTACGGGGCCTGCTGGTTCCTGTCACGAGGGCCCCTGTGGTTCCTGTCACGAAGTTCCTGTTGCGCCTTTTCCTCCTGGCCTTGAGGGCAGCCAGCTTCTGTTCGCAAGTACGTCATATTGAGCCAGCAAATACCACAAGGATGGTTGTCCTTGCTGGCAGGTTGGGCCATTCGGGCGATTCGGGCGATTCGGGTATGGTTCGCAACGTATGCGACATGACTTTCGGATCCTCATTACATACTTCTTGAGAGCATGGGTTTCGGTGTGCATGTGAAACAAGCCACGGAGGTCACTCACCCACCCAGCCGGGACAAGCCAGACACCCGCCCCTCCTCCACTCAGCCACTGAAGTCCTACCCCAGCCGCTCAGCCGCTCAGCCACCCAAGCTCTCCCAAAGGCTACTACGCCACTCCGCTTCTCCCTCTGCGCGGCTGCAGAAGCTGAGTGGCGTAGTAGCCTTTGCGAGAGCTTGAGTGGGCGAGCGGCGGGTGCCTGGCTTGTCACGGCTGTGTTACATGGGGGCAATCTGTTTTCACTTGGGCATACTCAGTCTGTTTCCGTGGCCTGGGGGACCACCATGATCAAAGCGGACTCATGCAGGCCCTACGACTGGCGCGAGTGTTGGGTCCTAGGGTTAATAAGATGCTACTGGAAGCCCTGTGGTCGCGAGATGGTCATGCGGAGGCAATCCTAGCGCAGTTAATGCACGCTGACCGTTCCTTAGGCCTGAAGGCCTCATGACGGTTCTTGATATAAGCAGGCACTTTATCTGACATGATCGCAGTCCTTCGTGGAACCTCCATCTGGAGCAGCAGGACTTTTAGGGCAACCTCCATTCAAAATGATAGCACTTTTTGGGAGTCTCCGTCTTAACAGACAGGATGTCTAGACGTCAAGTGACCGGATTTCCAGGAAAATCTTCATCGAGTAGGGTCGGAGTTCCAGAGCAACGTCCATATCATGCGACACTCAAGCTGAGAGGGTCAATGCTTTAAACATTTTGTCCTGACAGCGCCTAGTTTTGGTCTGTTCTCAGCCCCTACGATTAAGTATTCCGTTATTCGTCCGTAGTCAGATCTGCTTTGTAACAGAATTAAGGCCATCCGGAGCATCCTTGAAGCAAACCCCCAGGCAAACCCCGAAGCATACCCACAATCCAAACATCCCGGATTGCCCCCGCTAGTTCCGGAAAACAAAATAATGTGTTCAAAAACTCTGGGGACAAGGCTAGCCTCAACAATTTCAGCCCTCAGAAACGAAGAAGCGACAAGAACAAAAAGGGATACGCAGGCAACATGTTGCCCTGACGGTCAAACTCCGGACGAGTCCAAAAGCATCTAAGCATCTACTACTTCAATTTGGTACGCAGACCCCAGGCCCACACATGCCGAGCCTACAAGAGGGTAGCCTGCGAAGCCAAGAAATGGCATTCAACAAATGCCGTGTGAATAATCGCTTCCCACTAATAATAAACGACGTCCCCCCCCACCCCCGTAGTAATAAATAATCCGGTGGATCAGAAATTGTTTATTATTAGGGGGGCATACTTATTGAAAGGATTTGGTAGGGCCGCCTTTAAATTCCTTTTAAAATCAATTAACATTGAATTAAAATCCCATTAGAATCAATTTAATTTTACTTAAAATTCCGTTTAAAATCAATTAAAGTCGAATTAAGATCCCGTTAGAATCAATTGAAATGTGATTAGAATTCCTTTTAAAATCATTTGAAATCGCATTAAAATCCCGTTAGAATCAATTGAAATTTAATCAAAATTCCTTTTAAGATCAATTAAAATCGAATTAAAATCCCGTTACAAGGTGGCAGGATCTCTCGACGAAAACATCAAAAAAGGGCCCATGTCCAAGTCACCTCATGCTGGTGCCCTGGGCTGGGCGCATCAAAGCCACAAACTACTAACTAGCACGCTCCGGGCGTTTGGGGGGAGCAGTTTTTTCTGACATGTGCAGACAGGGAACCCCAGCAATTAGATGGGCTTGCAAGTAGAAAACAGCCAAAATCGTGCTAATACAGGAAGCACGCTTCTTTTCAGCAACTGCCGGCGCTCGTGCTTTATTGGTCTTCCACACCAGGGTGTGAACTGGAGCCGGCCACATGCCAGATAAGCAGGCACGCCCTTTAGACGAAGAGTTGTAATGCAGAGTTGCTAGTACCCTTCATAATAGGAGCATCTGGAGCGTCAGTCGCACAAAATATGTTGTAGTCAAACGTCGGTCTTTACGGCTTTGTAACAGGCAAGATCTGCAAAGTTGCGAATTGCATCATGTGGGAACTTTGACCGGCAGCGACTGGCACCTAGATTCCTCTCCTGCGTTTGCAATTCTACCAACTGCTGCCGGATATTCGCTTTGTCGTGAGTCAGGGACGCTGTGAACCGCAGAGGCTTGCAACGCGTGGAGACTCTAAGAACACTGGAGAATCCTCGGCCCTCTGAAGAAAGACTATATGAAACTCACATGCAAAAGGTTGACGAAAGCTCAGACAATGCAAAAACAGTTCATGTATCCAGCTGTAATGAGACTCGGATATCCATGACAGGGATACAGGAAGGAGCGTTTTCTTGGCATGCAACATGGCTTTGATTCCTGCTTCGTGTAGTCTTGATGCCTGCTGACTTGGAGAATTTTGCATCTGTTTAGGCAGACGCGTCTGTTGAAACGCACTTGCTATCTTCCAGGTTCCTCGTCATTTCTTACACCACCAGCAGCCTTTCAACTTCGCATGAGCACAGCTCATAGTGGGACAAATCACGTAGGCCCCTGCACGAGATCAAGACAGAGCATGCCACCAAAAAAAGGTATGGACTTGCAGAACCAATCAATCTTGCAAAAAATGCGGAAGCCATGCCATATGTGAGCGGCATTGAAGTTATACGAGCACCGCGCGGTGTCGCCGTGCTCTTCGAGAACTGCCCGGTGAGTCTCCGGGGTGACGTGAAAATGGCTGAAAAAGTCATTGTACCTCCGAAGACAAGCCAAAGAAAGCAAAGCCAAGACTTGCCTCCAGCTCAAGGCAAACTTTGTAGATTACCCGTCTGGTAATTGGTCGCCGTTCTCCTTTTGCAGCTCATCACTGACCTGCCAGCAGGAGCGTGTCAATGACCAGCTTGTCTAGATTGAAAGGCCAAGCTTACGACGGAGAAATCTCGGATAGATAGGCCGGTTTGCGCCAGAAGGAAAGGAAGGGCGATCAACATCCTTCAGGCGAAGATTCAGGGGAAGAGGCTTCGGGCAAGGACGCCGCAGCTAATAATATCTCAGCAAAGGTTCGGCAGTCTGAAGGAACCAAGCTCAAATGTATGGAGTTCACCTGGACAACCACACTCGGGCACCTAGTTTCTGAATAATGCAAGACCCGTCCACATTCTGATCATGTTTTGAGCCAGCGTGCAGGCGTACTGGCGTTGCCGAACAAGGATCACTTACTTCGGCGGCTTGGCTTGAGCCAACTCCTGCAAAATTCAAAGTTGCTTGGAGCAGTAGTAATGGACCATCTAACAGCCATAGCGGCCCTAAAAAGATGGACCTGCTGGGCCTTCTCCTTTTGACGCTTCAGTATGACTTGCATAGGGCGTGGAATCTCAGTGAAACTGCATTGCGGCATCGTGTGCCTTTAAATTGCCATGCCACAAACATGGGGTGAAAGCTCACTTTCGAGAAGCCTTACTTGCTTCTGCAGGATTTCAAGCATCAGGCAAACAAGATCTTGAAAGCGAGAGGGAAAGGCCCTCCACCACACAACCACCACTTGTAGGACCTACAGAAGGATGAAAAGCTAATGTCAAGAATTGGTACGGCGTTCAATACTTCATAGCTTGAAAAAATGTTATAGCCCATGAAAATATCATAGAAACCTGGCATTGTCTGATTGTAACATAATTAAGATTATACAGAAGTATCATCCTTAGAACCGCCCATCATGGCACCCCTCTGGGGGGGCGACACTTGATGCGTCCACATGTTCGCGAAGCTGCGCTTACTTTCGCTAACTTGACAATTTTTGTGTCGCTAGGAATCGTTACCAATGTTCCCTCTAAGCTCAACTAGTATGCCAAAGTTGTTCATTTCAAGGTATCAGGATGTTTAGTGCCTGCGGCGAAAAATTGTTGCTTGTCGCGATTCTAGAACTTGGGATCTTCATGTTTTATATCGCTTGGAACTGGGACACGTGCATTACTCGTACTACTGCCTTGACATCTATCGTCGAAATATTGTTGCTATTGTTTCCTGCCTTCTCTTTGACAGGCTTTGGGGACGCAGGTGGTTTGGGGAACCACGGTCAATTTTCAACTCGAGGAAAGCTTTGAGCGTCTAACGCACTTGTTCTGGAACAAACGTCGAGTTCACGAATCGAAAAAGCCACATGTCCAAAAAACGATTGCAATCTCCATCGCATCCGCCCTGTCCCTAAACCTAGCATCTGCTGAAAACATGACGGACGCACCGTTCTTCCGCCAAACTAAAACACAGAGGATAATTTTGTTTGTAACCTGGGTCATTATTTCTGCAAACAAAGATCAACGATGAAACAGACCTATGATGACTTTCAATCTGTCAGCACGCAGACCTACATCCCTAAGCTTGCCTTCCTGAAGCACCAAACCCCAGATTCTGGATTTTGCTGTGAAAGTATGTCTTTCTTCCCCGAATGCTTGCCAAAACGTGTCCTCATCGTGTCCTCCTTGAACGATGCAAAAAATAAACCGATCGGTCCGTGGGCGGACTCTGGAACTTCACCTTTCTCATGGCTGCAAACTTTCCGAATTGCAAATGCGTTTGATCCTATCGCAGTTGCCGTGGTGCACATCAACGTCATGCCATCGCTAAAGCTCTGTATGTTGACACCAAGGTCCGTCAACTTGCAGGCAGGAAATGGACATCTTTGTACTGCAAATGAAGTCCACCGGGCACTGTGCGATCCCCATTATCGCTTTTGACACCATATTTGTTTTGTCTCAGTTGTAAAGTGCTGCGTGCTGCAGCATATTTGTACTGGCCTTGTTCAGCCTGCTCCTGGCATTGGGGTCTCCGCAACATGTTCATGTCCACATATTCCGCGCTGAATTGTCTGCGCGCTTAGCCAAAATCCACGGGGACAGCCAAACTAGGTCCGCAAGATCTTGGCTTGGTCGCCGTATTGGATGATATTTATCTGGCAGCCCAAGGGCGGAAGCGTACTACGGCGGAGGCTGCCGCTTGATTTGTATTGTACAGCTTACACATGTGGAACCCTACTTAATATGTTCCCCAAGTCCATGTAATGAAAGCATCGAGCCTCCCCGCCAAACACGGAACAAAACAAACAGTCCTTAAGCCCCAAACATTTTGGTTTGGATAATAACATCAAATACCATAAGTGTGGACTTCTTCCTGGTTCTGGCTGCTTTCTAACAACATGCACTTAGTTTGAACCATGTGCACACTTCTTGCATCTTGTATAAAAAAATTAATGCCAAATAGTATTCGCATCCCTGATGACAACACATCTGCTTGTTCATTGCAAAACGATGGCCCACGTGGCACCTTATTTGAAACAATGTACAGCTGTCAGCCTGGAGTCTGTTGTCCTAATAAATTCCAATCCAACAACGCTGCATGCCTGATGCTTTGTGTTTTCTGTTTCCGCTTTGAAGGCAATTCGCACAATTGCCTACCCAATTCTGGCGCAGTTGCCTGCCTGGCCGCACCTTGCTTTGCGCAACCCGTCAGCGCAACGACACCTGACCTGCCTGCATGTTGAAGCCCCATGCCTGTACAGTGGGACATCACACCAGTAGGGCATAATTCCCTCAGGAGTTTTCTCCTGAAGGGTCACCCACCTGCTTATGGAAACCATGTGCTGAAAAAGACAGCCTGCCTGACACCTTTTTTGCTTGTTGGTTGGTGCACCATGTGCACCATGCCAGTAGGCTTGCCGCCTGACACGCCCGCTTGACACCTTTTTTGGACTGCGGCTTTGAGTCTTCGGTTCTTCTTGGTGGTGCTATCAGCGCCGCCTATCCCGCTTTTGCGCGCCCTGTCGCGACCATGAGCCTTCTACCCTTCTGTCACAAGGCATAATGCATAGGAGATATTTGCAGTAGGCAAGCTTGTGCTGCAGAGCGAAGCACTCATGGGAATCCCGCATGGACATCCCAAACGTGAACACTATCGCCAGTAGAATGCCAATGTTTGCCTGTGGTAAGAGTGTTTATTTTTTTTGTTGTCTGGTCTTTTTTGTTGTTTGGGCTTTTCGGGTGTCATTTTTTTTGCTGCTTGGGCGGGGGCGTGTTTTTTTTTTGCTGTTT